TCTTTCTTTCTTTCTTTCTTTCTTTCTTTCTTTCTTTCTTTCTTTCTTTCTTTCTGTCTTTAATTTCTCTTTCTTTTTTTTTTTCGTACATTGAACAGCTTGGATCGCCGTCCTTTCCGTTTAAACAGGCTGGATCGGTTCAAAGTGCCAGAAAGCCGAGGGGGTTGGATGTAGGGTGGGGGGCTGTAGATGGGAGGGAGGGGAAAGGAGGAGTGGAGGCAGAGTTGTGGTGGTGGGGGGAGAGACCGGGGTCGCGCGCGGGAGGGAGGGAGGGAAGGCAAGGAGCGGGGGAGGGGGGGGCGCTTCCCTTTGGTTGAGCTTCCATCCAGGCTACCCCCTTCCCCTCCTCCCCATCCGCTCTCCCCCACCCCCTACACTCTCCCCCCCCCCACACCCATCCTTTCTCCCCACCCCCACCCCCGTCTGCTTGGCCGGTGGTAGATTCCACTAGCTATAAATAGCGGGAGGCGCATGGCTTTTTGGAGTCGATAGCTATTGTGGGAGATGAGCGGCTGGGAGGGAGGAAGCGGGGGGGGGGGCGGTTGGATGGAAAGCGGGGGGGGTGGACGGACCGAGGCAAGAACGGGCGAGCTGGCAGGCAGGCAGTCGGGGGTGGAGGGGGGGAGGACGGGCTGCCGCTGGCACCAGCCAAGTGGCTTATTTGCTTTTATTCTCTCTCTCTCTCTCTCTCTTTAATCCCCTTCTCTCTCCTGTCTTCCGCCTTTTTTTTTCCATGATGATTGTTATATATTAATTTGGGGGGGTGGGCGAGCGGCGCCCCTGTTTTCTTTTACTTGTACAATGCATTCAAGCGTTGACAAACCCCCCCCCCCGTTTTATTTTAATTTTTCCCCAACCCCCCCCTCCTTCTCCGGTTAAAAAAAAAATGAAAAACCCCAACCAGCTCGACTTTCCCTTCCAGAGACGGCTAGAGAAGGAAAGCCTTTTGTTTCCAGAGGCCAGGCAGAGAGAAAGAGAGAAAGAAAGGAAAAGAAAAGAAAAAGAAAAAGAAAAAGAAAAAGAAAGAAAGAAAGAAAGAAAGAAAGAAAGAAAGAAAGAAAGAAA